CCTCCCTCCATTTTAATCCCATAAGCCTCGGAGCGAAGCAAAGGAACCTTCGTTAAGTGGGCCAGGGTCTTCCCTCCGTGCTGGGCTCCTCCGGGCGTCCCACTCCCCTGCGCCAGGCCGCTCAGGACACGGCTCACTCACACCCCTGTGTGGCCGCTAATTCCTATTTTAGCCCCATTCTACTGAGAGCTTCGGGACCAATGGCTGCATGGTGAGAATGCCCACTGTGCTCAGCAGGCACCATGGTTAGCAAATTGGACTCAAGCCTGGAGTTTCCTCTGGGCCCTGGGAATAAGCCGCTGGGCTGTGGCCGAGGGATGATGGCACACCGACAAGGCAGCGGAGGGGCGGGCCGAGCGGATGGGAAGGAAGTGACCGGAGCAGGAGGCTGCGGTCAGGGCGGCGGGGACAGCCGCCTGCTCTCCCCTCGGGGCCGTGGCCCTGGACTTCCACGCTCCTGAGTCACCAACCTCGGAGCTCCAGTCTGGCCCTCGCCGTGGGCTGACTCCGCCAGGCTCCACTTTTGCCGATCAAGACTGAGCTGAGCGAGATAAGGTGTGGAAGTGGGTGGGCGAATGGCCAGGTGTGCTGCCACCTGGGACAGGTAGGGACAGGTCTTACCCAACCCTAATTCCTGCAGGGCCTGAACGGACTGCACACAGCCTCACAGGTCCACTTCAGGCCGTCACTGCTCCAGCTCCTGGGCCAGGCGTCCTGTCCTCACCCCCCTCCCCTCTGCTCCAAGGACCAGCCCATCCTCGGAACCCTCCTTGTCTGCCCTAAGCCTTTCCTACTGGCCCCGTCTTTTCGCACCTTCTAAAGCACGCAGAATTATGGGTCATCCTGCCTGAACCTCTTAACCTGTGCAATTTATTAAATGGACGCCTCCCAACCCTGCGGCCCGTGCACGGCTGCCATTCGTGAGTCAGACCCTATGTCCCGCTTCAAGGGGGAAAGCATGCGATGTCCTTGGCCCAGAGCCGCCCTGTGAGCTCCACTCCCTGCCATTCCCTGTCCTCCCAGGAGGCCCCACTTCCTGGGAGTAAACTCCCGTTGGCTCCATCTAGGTTATCCCGTGACGCCCAGGACAGGGTCTGAAGGAAACTGGGGGTGGATTGACTGGTTGATCGGCTATTGATCCCAAGCCATGGTTCTCTTTTAGGGGCCATTTTCCCATTCTGAGAACGCAAGTCTCGGGGAATTACCTGTACCCGACGGCTCCGTCGTAGACAGAATCGTTCAGGTAGATGACGGCGCCTCCAGGGAGCACGAACTGCTGTCCGGCCGGAGCGTTGTAGGACACCAGGCCATCTGCGAGGGAACGGACGGTCAGCACCGGAGCCCACCAGCCCGGGAGCCTCCCGGCTGCCCCTGCGCTGCGGCCCCCCAGGCCCCGACCCGGGCACAGCGCAGCCAGGGGTGACTGAAGTGATGCCGCGCTGGGAACACCCCTCCCGGGATGGGGAGCAGCCAGGCTGGGTGAACGATGCTCCTCCTCTCCTCTGACCGAGAGGGAAGCCCGCACCGGGGACCACGCACCAGCGCGGCTCAGACACCTACCCAGCCAGACGCAGCCGTAGAGCTCCACCCTCATGCACACGTTCATGGAGTGGTCGGTGACCGGGATGAAGCGGACGAATCTGGCCACGATGGGCGGCTCCAGGTCCTTCAGGAAGATGTCGTAGGGGTTACTGCTTCCGTCCAGCACCTGAGCGGAGAGCAGAGAGTGGGGGTGGCTGTGACGCTCCGCTGACCCTTCCTCCCCCAGCCTCCCCCCAGGGCTGGACGTCTCGCCTCCTACCTGCTTCCCGTGCCGGTTCCGCCAGGAGATCCAACGTGCGCCATCCCGGCTGTAGTGGATCCTGTACATGGGGGCGAACTCGATGCCGTGGCCGCCGGCGTGGCGGCCCTGGGTCCCCACCAGCGTGATGAAGTGCAGGGAGTGCAGGTCGATCTGCAGGAACTCCTTCAGGTCGTCGGGCTCCACCGGGATCTCGGGACACCAGGCTCCATCCCCTTCCTCCGAGTCCAGCCTGAGACACGAGGGCGAGACGGGGATCTGTGACTCCCGGACTCCGCTCCCTGCACAGCCAGCAGCTGCCCGGCCTGGCACAGGACCAGGGAGTTCTCCCTCGCGGTGGCTGCACCACCGTGCCCCGCATGGTCAGGCCCTTCTCCCTGGCACCAGGGACCCAGAGGACAGTCACCACTGGGAGCTGGGGCCCTCAGGTCACAGGGAGGCCTGATTCCGGATGCGGAGACCTCACTGGAGGTGCTGTGAAGCCTCCCCCACAGTCACTGCACCTGCCTCCCCTGATGGTCGCCCGGAAGTCTGGGGGGGGCTAAGGTTCCCAGTGTTGGCAGCGCAGCCAGCAGGAGGGGTGTGGCCGCCCAGCAGGTGGAAACATGGTGGGAGTGAGGAAAGAGGGAACCGCGAATCATCTGGTGCTTACGTCCAGGCTGCGCTGCCGGGAGCAGAATGGGGAACTGGGTACCAGGTTCGTTCGGGGACCCTGGGGCACCCTCCCTCTTCCCTGGCATGTGCCTTTGCTCACAGGTATTTCTGACCCCGCTGACCCCGTCCAGCCCACCACCACCCCTCTCGTCCTTAACGCACGAGTGGAATTTATAGAGGTTGCTCTTCTTATGGGTGATGCGAGTTTAACAGAAATCCACACTTCACACCAAAAGACTCAGCTCGAAGAAGGCAGTTCGGCCCTAACAAGCAGAGGGGCTTTTGACAAGGAGTTTATTCCTGCAGACGACCCGGTCCCAGCGCATGGGGAGTGCCACACACCTGGGGACGGGGCCTCCCGGGAGGCGTCCTTGAGAGCAGGGTGCTCCCAGAGCAGGTCCTCACTAACCTGCACCCCCGCATCTGCTGCCCAGCCACCCTCCAGCATCTCCCGGCGAGAGGGCGAGGCCGGCCCACTGCACCCGGAGCCCCCGCTGTAGTGTGGCCTGGCCTCCACGGTCAGGATGTCGCCAGACCTGCACCTGCGGCCGAGCCCCAACTCTCCCTAAGAACACGCAGCCCAGGGCAGGCCCGTGACGTCCTCCGGTTCCCACGTGCTCCCACCAAGCACAGCCTGTCCAGGAAACCTGTCCCACTCGGAGCTGCTGCCCAGGTCCCTGCCTTGGGCCCCGCCCTCACCGTCCGTATCTGGCCGCGGTGGACTCTGACCATTGGCTGGAGGCTGTGATGTCCTCATCCGGAATGTGGCCTCCCGACATGCCCAGGGGGTAGCGGCACACGGCTGGACCAAGAGAAAGCAAAGACAGGAAATCCGTATTGTTACATCCAGAGGCCTCCCTGGGAAGAGCACAGTTGGTTATTGGACGTGGAAAAAGTGACTCGAATCCTCCAGATGGCGATGACCCGCTCTGCTCACCGTGACGCTCAGCCTTCCCTTCCTGGTTCTGCCCCCAAACCGATCACCGCACCATCGTCCGAGCGCTGACCCGCGGCCAAACTACCTTTTGGTCCAAAGGCTGAAAGGACTGTAACGCGAGTTGTGTCGACCTTCCCATCCGCACTCCCTGTCAGCAGGTGGGGTTTCCTACAGGCGATGCTCCTCGCAACCCGGGGCGGGGCCAGAGCACCCCTTCCTCCCGGGGGTGGTTTCATGGACCTCGGGAGCAAGCCCAGACCCCCGGGAAGGTGCGGAGCACAGCCGCGGCCCCTCAGCACCAGGCTGGGGCCCTGGCTCAATCAGGAACCTCAGGGATGGACCCCTCTACCCGGGGTAGGGGACAGGGCCGGGTTCGCTCTCCTGGGTGAAATAAACAAACAAGGATAAAGTATGTGAAAACCTGGGGTCCAATATAATGAACATCAGACAACCCAGGGCAGCGACCCTGAAAGACAGGAAACAAGGCGAGAGCCCACTCTGCACCAGCTCCCACCGCGCCGTGTCGGGCGCTCAGGAGCGAGAGCCCAGGCGGGGCTGGAGGGTGTCCTCGTGGGGACAGAGCAGAGCCCGGGAGGACAGGGGACAGAGCTTGCAGGAAGGGCTGGTCAGAGGAAATGCAGGC